GAACGTTAAATCATAGTCAAGAACACAAATACTGTACACCGTAACTTGTTTAAAGAAACTTAACAATATTAATGCGATTTATCTCTAAAAACTTTAAAATTATGCACAATTCTCATACAGAAATCGTTTTGTTTGGAACCAGATATCCTTATCACTAATTGATTATACTATCATGACGTCATTACTACCATACTCTATTTATTCACATTATGACATGATGAAATAACTGTGATAATCAAATTCACTGGCAAAATGCCTAGGGATAATTTAACACTTTGGTTATCAACGTAAATTATCAATAATAGAATACCAAAATACGATAATTTCGATATTTGTGTGATAATTCATGAATGTCACGCGTGATAAACTATCACGGCCATTCRAGAATTGACCCCCAGAAACGTTTGTTTTGAACAAGCACATACGCAACACTTCTTTTCTGGACAACTATTTCGTATTCGGTAGAACCAAAGAACAAACTAGAACTGACTATTAAAAAGGAATCGCGATTAAATTCTCATCAAAAAACGTCGAGTTTAACCACATATCGTGTTCGTCTGCGTGAATAATATCATCCACAAATGGTGAATTTACCATAAACCGATTACGTATACATCCGACATCGATTGCACTTTTGCACTAGTGAAACCTGATAACGAAATAATGCTCTAAATATTTCTGTTTTAAATTAAATAATGTGCAGAATATAATTGATGTTAAAACCTTAAATGTTAACCGAATAAACAATTATTATAAATCAAATGTGATCAATAGGCACTATGTACTATGCTTAAGTGTAGAAGTTCTTAATAGATTTAGCTAAAATAATAAATGATTGATAATTAATGTCCATAAAAACTAAATACATTATTAGTGAATAAAAAAAAAACGTATATATGTTATACAGGACATTAAATAACCATAGATTTTTAGTAGAATTATAATTTAGGTTTTTAGTAAACAATGATGTCAAATTATTGATAATCCRAGAAACTTTAAACGTGTATACAAAAAAGTGAATACTAAAAAGTTATTTGTAATAGCATATACAGTGTTAGATGCTCAAAGTTAAAAATAAGTCAAACAAGACGCAGTATAGATATTGCTTATATATACTTATTTCCAATTATACTTACCACATAAATATTATTTTATTGTTATCAATAAATTTTAATTCAAAATTCATAAATTCCCATTTTCTGGGACGGCTGGTTTTGTTTTATATAATTTCAATTTTATTTTTATTTAGTTTATTAATAATAAACTCAATTTAATTTACAAAATTTCGGTCTACATTTTCATGCATTACTTGTAATAGTTACCTTTAGCTTCAATATTATAAAATTATTGATTTTAATAATATTTATCATTAATATAAACACCCCTTGTATCTTACTTGTAAAATGCATATTATAGTGTATATTATTGCAATAAAGGAATACTTAGTGCTACTATTTTAGGTATAGGTATTTTTTTAAATAACTGTTTAAAATAGAATGGTCAATTAAAAATCATAAATACACAATACACATTAATTATTATGAAACTGAGGCACTTTTAGATACTCATACAGACAATATGACTCACTGTTTGTAGTTATTACTCAATCATCGCTGACTAGTAAGTAAAACTAGATAATGCTAGGCACATATTAATTGAGACAATTTATGATCAGCAAATGATACATTCAACATTGCCTTATGATTTAAAAATATATTATATGAATATGTTTACATAACATATAATATAGACATAGCACTTTTGATATCTTATACCTACTATAAAAGTTATGTATTACAAATTAAGTACAAACAAAGAATTAATTTTATCAATATTTTGACTTTTATTCATTTAAAAAACCAATTGRTCATAATAATAATATTTATATAACAATATAATTCAATATTTAAAACAATATTTTATTTTAAAAGTTACAAAAATTTATTTCATAGCAATTTTATTGTAATAACAAAATATCTTTAATAAACCAAAAATACAAAATATATCCATTTAAACATTGTGACAGTCTTATATGTTTTATACAAAATACTGTACATTAAAAAATTCATATATCAGGAAATCAAAAAAGGTCATTCATCATTATGGGTTTTAATGTGGGAAAAATATGATTTAAGGTAGTCATACTGTTTATTACATATTTTACATACAAAATGTTTATTTTTTTTATTTTTATAACATAAGTCTTTTTTATGTTTATTGGCATGTTTTTTAAAATTTTTATACATTTTAAATTTAAGTCCACAGACCGTACACAAGATTTCATTATTTAACTTAACTGAATGTTCAGATTGATGCAATTTCAATTCAGCAATAGAAGTAAAATGTTGTCTGCATATTCTACAGTTCAGTTGGTTATTGATATAATTTAATCCAAGATCATTTAAATTATTTTTAACTGGATTAATAATATTTGGAGCTCTATAAGTTGTTTTTAAATTTTCTTCAAAACTATCCTGCCTTATGGATTCTATATTATCATAATTATCTACATTTATTTGATTAATGAATTTACAACTATCAGTTTTTTTTATGGTTATTGGGGGAGAAACACTACTAATATTATTTATCCATATCCCTGTACATTTTTCATTTTTATTTAAGTCTATGTTATTCATTTCAATCTCAGTTTCATTTTCATGCTTTTTGAAAGTACATTGAATATTTTCTTTTCCTTTGTCTGGTATTGATCCCTYCAAGTCAGTCTTATTCAGTTTATTTAGTTTAATTTTATCACGTATTTCACTAATTCTTGTCAGCATTAATTTTAATTCATCATTATAYGGATGTTCTTTTTTWYCGTGCAATTGTTCATACAGAAACTTAAGATCATATTCTAGTTCTTCAATTTTAAGAAAATATAAATCTACTTTTTCTTCTTCATTATACTGGCCTTGGTGTTGGGTGGAATATTGATATTTATTAATATCTACACATTTTGGTTCACACTCTTTTTTTAAAAGTTTCCAAAACCTWGCTGTTAAATTTTTCATTTTGGAAGACAACAATTGTAAATTTTCATCTGCATTAAGATGGTTATTGAATGTATAATCAAAACTACAATTTTTAACGGTTTTTGGTTTATCAGACCCATCAATTTCCAGGTTACTACTTAAGCTGCTAATACCCTGATTTTGGCTATTAGGTGTCACAGCATTTAACTTCTTTGGACTGCCTCGTTTGTTTTTTAGGTTAACCTCAACATTATTACCAATAATGTTCTTCTTTGGACTTACTATAAATCTTTTCACAGAGGAATTATTTTTATCTGAATATACCATTGGTTTTTCTTCATCTTTATTTTTCTGGTGTATTATTATATCTGAATAGACTTTATTACAAGTCTGTACGGTGTTCGAAGTTTCAGGCTTGGGTAATTTTTTTTTTTTTTTCCAGAATTGTTTATAATTTTTGTTTTTGTACTTAAGATAGATAAGATTCGGCCCTTTGTAAGTTCTAACACAAATATTAGTACCAACATGTGCTTTATACGAACACTTTGAAGCAAACTTTTGACAACATTTTAGACAAACAACATGTTTATCAATAAAGTCAAAATCTTTAAATGGAAACAATTTTAAAACGCCTTTTCTAATACAAAAATTTTCATATCCGGTTTGTATACTGTTATTTTTGTATGCTAGATCTGCATTATAGCATGGTGAAACTAATGAATGATTTTTGAAAATCTGAAAAAAAACAATAATATACATAAATATATATTGGTATATAAATAGATTAATGAAATAAACATTTTCCAAAAAAAATTTGTTTTATGAAATGTATTTTATTTATTTAATAATTATATACATATTATTTTTATGGAAAATTGTTTTTTTTAGATTTAATATAGAAAATAATGAAGTTCAAAACTTAAAAAAAAAAACTCTGGTTCACTCTTTAGGTGAAATATATATATTATTAACAGGTGTACGGCATATAAGGTGGGTTCGTTAATGGTATTTGTATTTGAGTTGAGAGATTATTCTGTATCACCCAGCGTGACCGATAGAAGGTTAAATATTTATAAATTAATGTAACTTAAATTTGATTAAAAGTAAACTGTTATTTATTAAATTTATATTAATAAGAATCAGTAAGTTAAAATATATGTTAATGAAAAGTGGACTGAAAATACTAGTGTATTTTTATAAATGTATTTGTCGGGAAATAAGTGGCTTATGAAGCAGGTATAAGTACACGATTTACGCAAATCACATTAATTAAAATATGATAAATATAACCATTTTTCAAAGTAAGTGGATTTACAAACAAATTTACTTGGTATAATAATACATCAATTCATTATAAATTTATAAATATATTGCATTAGTTAACAAAATAATGGATTGTTTAATATTTTACAGC